CCAGGCTGGGCGGGGGCCGGTGGTTCGTGGCGGGGGTGGGTGCCAGCGAGCCTGTGGCTGGGCACAGTCAGGGCTGCGACGTGGCAGGAGATGTAGCTCAGGCAGGCACCAAGGCGAGAGCCTCCGCTCAAAGTGGCTCCCCTGGGCTGGGGCAGGGAAGAGGCCCCCCGCGACCGCCCTGGCTTTGCGCTGCCCCAAGCCCCAGCAGCCAAACTCCATGAGGGGGATGCTCACAGCACAGATCATCGTTACTGTTTCTGAACAATGCATACACAACTACTTCTTCACAAAAACTGAATTTTTATTACACTTGTTTCGTATCTAGAGGACAATGGTTCAACGAGATTAAAGTCAGAAGCATCCATTGGTTTTGGGTGAAGACGGTTTTCCGGGTACCGTTGGCTCTGTGGCTTTGTCTATGCTAGTAAATTAACTGCACCTGGAGCAATCTGCAGCATTTAAGACCAGCTGGCAAGAAGCTGCCTGACTCTGTACTGCAAAACTCTCTTACCCTCCAAAGCTGGATGACTGACTATTAGGAATGCCACCTGGCCACTGCAGAGCGCTGCACTGTGCCGAGGATCGCTGAGATGCTGTTATCTGGTCCAGGCCAAAACTGTGTTAGCAATTTGACAGAACAGACAATTGTGGTCCAGTACGTGGAAAGATTCCCTGGCACCGATGAGTTCACCAGCACAGCTGAAGCCTGTCCAAAGCACAGCTCCTGCTGGCTCTGGCTGTGTGCAAGCGCACACGCAAGTATTCACAGCTGCATCAGATGCAGAGGGCTCCAGGAAGCCAGCCAAAACATTAAGAATAGTCAAAGGCACCTTTGGCAGAGACAGGGGGAGGACTCAGTTCTCCAGCGGATCGTTCCAGGTATCATAAACACGACACTATTCTTTCATGTCCTGTTCTCTGCGTTGTCTCACTCACCTCGTACTTACCAACTTTGCAAGAGCTGGGAGGCAGCAATGATAATCTCTTCCAGTACAAAAACCCTCCTAGAGAGGGCTTACCCATTACCCTCAATGAAAGTGATACCACATGAAGAAAAATAATATGAAGTCTACACGATAAAATATATAGACAAGGAAAGTGAATTAAGATCACCTAGGTAAACTATGTTGATGGTAGTAATAATATGGACAGATTGCCAGTCATGCCTTCTTTTTATGGAATGCTTATACAACATGAATTTTCTGCAATTAAAAGGGCTCACTGGGATTCTCTAAGAGTTAAAATCGTAACTGAAAATATTTGGTTACTCCAGCCATTGTTCAGAATTCTTTCTGAGTAGCAACTTTGATTCCTTATTACTGAACCTTATTTTATAACATTCTCTAGATCTTGAGGGGTTTGCTTTAGAGAAAGCTTTAGTTAATGTTCTTCTGATACAACTTCTCAGACATATTTTCTCTCGCTACAGTAGCACACTATTGTCTTTATAGAAAAGCAATTTCAAACTTATTTGAAAACAAAAATGTAAGGAGATTCCTAGGAACAGCGAAATGGTTGGACACATGCCAAGCAGTACCATTCAAAGACAGCAACTCTGACACAAACAAACTAGTCTTTTAAAATACCAGAAAAAAGCTACCGTGGACCAGCCCCCTGGTGGACTAAATGCCCATGATCTCTAGAGCAGTATAATTTTACTGTTTTAATAATCAATGAGTTTTGTATAAACATCCGACTGAACTGGATTTGGTGGCAGTCTTTGCTTGCTATTATATTAGTATCATGAGTCTCATGGAGTCCCATTGAGTCTCAGGCCCCATCCAAACCCAGCAAGACAGTTCCTGCTCTGCGCAAGCATATGTACGTCCAAAGGACATGCTATAGCAAAAATGATAAAATTCTCAAAGAGAATCTGAGTAAATTCTTTCACTATATTTAATTTGGTTGCTTCCCTGTTGTCCCTCATGAAAATAACAGTGCACTTAAAATACTGCAATAAAAGCCACAGGAGTTGCATGCATAGATTACCCAAGCTTAGTTGGGACATTCACCTCATCCCCTACTGAAACAGTGATGAAATAAGACCTTGAGGTGAACAAGAAAACTCTAGCATGGAAATGTAGCAAGGCTAATCATAAGGGAACTCCACTTGCACAGCAGTGTAACAGCAGACAAAAATAATGAATCCTTAAATTACTTGTCCCCGTTTCTTCGTTGAAGAGGGATGCTGTTCTTGGTAGCTAAAAATCATGCATCATTCCCATGCCTGAGAGCTGCACGTGGCTGCTAGACGGCAACGTAGTTTTTAGATCATTATGTTGCTATCCCAGAGAACTGCACATCTTTTACGCAGAAGAGCTGCTCATTAACTGCTGGTCCATGAAGTTTCAAAGGTGTCTCTACGACAGAAATCCTCCTTTTTTTGTTTTTTCTCCAACCTATGCTTCTTAATTCTTGAAAACACTTAGGAAGAGATTTTAAGCACGATAGTCCACAGAACAGCTTCTGATAATATCTGACTTACACAACCAGTTGCCTTACAGCACGCTTAGGAGATGAAGAATTAATCAGCAGGGACAGCTGGTGTTATGAGCCCCTATTCTTCCCCTATTATTTGCTAAACAACAACCTTTCTCTGAAAACAAGCCCCAAAAGCTACTCTTTCTGTTCTTGTTCTGCCTGACTCAGCAGATACAGGATCCTAGCAGTACTACTCAGCATTCAAACGCTTAGTATGAGAAACTTGATTTAAAAAAATGTGCATTTTTAATGCCTACTTATTGGGCTTCAAACATGCATGGGCCACGTGACAGCCTTACGGGAGCATTTTTACCAGTGAACGGTAGCATCTAACACTGGCTCTGACATAATAATTCTATGATAACCTTAGCTGAAGCAGACTAGAAACATCAGATGATTGTATCTGAACAGCTCGTCACAAAGCAGGAAGCTCAGAGAGTCCCACCCAGCTCATTCGCTTTTAAGTTCTGAAATAAGAATAAATCGGATCCTCTAAATACATTTTGCAGGCCACATATTAGCACTCACCTCAGTGTTATCCAATAATAAAAGAGAAAATGATCACAAAGTCAAATTGTGAGCCACATCTGGCCATTTTCAAAAATTTCTGGCCATTTTCAAAATTTGATATGAATGATGACTCTTCAATGCAGTGGACACATTAATATGTAATGGGACAATCTCTGCTCTAAAACAGTCAGGAGGCATACAGGTTTTCCAGGCTAAGGTCCCACATATGCTCCTCTCTCTACTAACTCTATTAAAACTCTGACTTCCCTTTCCACCTTGGGGATTTATACATCATAGAGGCTTGCTGATTGTCAGTCTGTCTCTGGCTCTTAAAATCATGCTGAGGAGTGCCATTGTGTTTAAGTATTGAAATCCTATCCTTCAGAACAAAGCAGGGATGTCTGATAAAATCCAAGATGCTCTAAGAAATAGATGGCAGTAGTACAATCAAGTCAGCTCTGTGGCTGACTTGCTGTTTTAGAAATGGGAGAAAGGTTAGTATTTGTGGTCTGACTGATTTCCAAAATAAACTACGTCAGCAGCTCATATTACATGAAATGTACCTATAATACTAGGTTTCATGCCATTTCCTTATACTGAAAATAGTATTTTCAGGAGTGATTATACATTTGGGAATTCACATGGGGAAAACACGACCATTATTGTGCAAAAAACAAAAACCCAACCTTTATTTTTCACAATACATTTCAAGTACATGCAGAACATATTTATATTTCTCCTTAAGGCAAAGAGAAATTGGGTTCTTATTCCTGAGTTGCTTAGCACCAGTAGAAATAGCAAATAAAAACCTAGGAAATGTTGTCTCTCCCTTTGAAGCAGCAACTGCCTCCCATGCAAAATAATTCTGCTTTCACCACATTTCTCTTGATGAGCTGTTTATACTAATAATCTCCACTGCTGTTTTGAGCAGATTTTTTGTATTTCAATCTCTTCAAAGAAACAGCATGCCAAGATTGAACAAACTTTTTTAGTGTTTGTTATTTTACCTTACATATTGTTTACTGACAAGACAGCATAACAGTACTGTACTTCTTCTGTCTTTGCTAGCACATACAGCACCTTCTTCTCTTCAATCTTAAAATTTTAAGAGTTCTGTATCCCTCTAATATCTAGAAAAAATAACATTATTTTCTTATGTCTCATGTGGGCCAGCTCCTTCTCCTAATTCTAAGTTACAACCAAGAGAAGCAGACGTCCACCTCTGCCAAAGGAATTTTACAGGGCTTGATTTCACTAAAGCTAAAGGGGCAAAAGGAGTTAAAAAGCCCATTAAAGTGTTGGAATTTAAGAAAAAAAATGCAAACCAGTTTTTCAATGACAAAATGCTCCAAGTCTGACTAGCTTTTGAGCCATTTGCACTATCTCAAGACTTTAGATATTTGCCAGAACCTAAGCTGTTCAAATTCCATTCAAAGTATAAAAGGAGCATTTTCAAAGAAATTTTGACATTCTTTTACCTTCCTTGACTGCTCTATCAAAAACTCCTAACTCCAATAGGCATCTTTCTTCCTTGACTTTTAAGAGGACCACAGGGCATGATCCTAAAAGAGAAAACTTTCATTAAGTAAAACATAAAGTTCCTATTTAACTTAATCGTGTAGCCCAAGCAGAAAGTCAGTACTGCAAAATTGGCTATGACTCTTCAGCATGCCTCCCTCAGTGACCTGCAGTGTGGAAAAATCTTTTGTTTCAAATTGCATTC